GAATATTTACCATCGTGGAAAATAAAAAGAAAATTACAAAATTAAAAAAAATTTCATCAAAATCTTTGTTTTTGACCAAAATTGACACAAAAACTTTTTGTTTCAATTGTTCTGTCAAAAATGTTCTGTAAATACCCTTATATAGCCTAATATAATGAGAAACAATCAAATTTAAAAAGCAATTTACATAAATTTTGTCAAAATGTTTTAGTTTTTCCTCAAAAATGATAGCAAAAGTTCATATTTTGACAGACAAATTCATACAAAAAGATTATAAAAATGTTCTCTAAACACCTTTATTTAATGAGAAATATGCAGGAAAAGATACAATTTAAAAAAATAATTTTACAAAAATTTTTGGAAAACTGTTTTTGACCAGAAATGACTTGAAAAATTCACATTTTGACAAAAGATTGTATGCAGCAAAATTTCTAGAAATGTTCACTCAATGCTATAATTTCATAAGACGCGTGCAGTAAAAGATACAATTTTGAAAAATAATTTCACAAGAATTTTCGTCAACATTTTTTAGTTTTTGACCAAAAACTGACACAAAAAGTAAAGATTTTGACAAAAACTTCTCCAAATGTCCTAATTTTATGAGAAACATGCAGGAAAAGATCAAATTTAGAAAAATAATTTTATAAATATTTTGGTCAATCTTTTACAGTTTTTGACCAAAGACGACAAAAAAAAATGTTTTAAATGTTCTCTAAATGAGTCATGACCCTATGGTGGATTGTTCCACCATTGGGTCATGACTCATTTAGAGAACCTTTTTTTTTAAACTTTTTTTTTTTAACGTTAAGTGGTCATGACTCACATGTTGTTCGGGCCCATGACCACTCTACTCGACACCACACCCCCTTTTGGAATGGATAAATACCTGGAAACTCCCGACCTGGACAGTAGAAGAGAGATGTCTTCAACTTACTGGAGGTGAGTCCACTTGGCTACTTTAAAACTCCTTTCGAGATTATTACGATGACCTGGATGACTGAGAATATCCACAAATGCATTAGGAAAACCCCAGGGCCCACCACCAAACAAAAGTCTGACAAAAAGTCTATGTAATGAAATATAATAATCTTCTCATTTTAAATTTAAATGATCTCAAAATTGACTAAATTCTTGCTCCTGTTTCCTTTTCTTTCCGTTCCTGTTTAGTTGAAAACAACGCTAGTGTGCTGTGGCACAGTGGTTGAGAATCACTGAGTTAAGGTTGACAAACTAAGTTCCCTCGTTGCTGTTTTTATTTCCATCTTTCATAATGACGTCACTCATTAAACAATGGAAACAAACATGATGTCATTTTGACTCTTTAATGACAGATATGCAGGTTTCTACAAAATATATATATACGTGTGAATATATCTACAGCTTGTGTTTCTGAATTTCTCCACCTTCGGCTACAGGTGCAATGTTGGAGCCGCCGAACAGAAAGTGACAGGAACTTTTGAGACTGAGCTTTTCAAAAAAAGTCTGTCAGAGAAACTCGAGCCAAACAAGGACGGAAAGGTCGTCGGTTCATTTACAACCTGACGTTGACTCCAGACGAGAACGGTCTCTCTCTCTCTCTCTCTCTCCCTCTGGTCCGTGGACTCAGGTCTTTCTGATCAGCTGCATGACGGCTATGGTGGTGCTCTGACCGAAGATGAAGGCTCCGCAGATCAACGTCACGACTCCCCAGACCGTCAGGACGACTCTGGACAGAAGAGAAGAATCTTTAACATTTGACCTGAATTGTGAGTCATTTTCAGACTTTGTCATACAGAGCTGTAACAACAACAGTTCCCCTCAGGGGGGCAATAAAGTCATTTCTGTTGCAAAAATGTTTGTGTACCATACAGGTCTCGTACTACCAGCCTGCAGGCTACATGCTAGCAGCAGTCTACAGAGTAAAGACAGTGATGCCTTCACTGTTGTACGAAAAAGAACTAAGTGTCACATCATCCACTTTTGGTTAAATTTACACGAGGCTGGGTTTTTTATTTGGAAACTTTTGTTATGTTTATGTTACAATTGGTTGCTAATCCTGCGTTTAGCTTTTGGTAACAATTAGGTGCGTTTAGCTAACTGTACGGTAGCTTTTCTGTTTCTGTTCAACAGTTCAATATTTATCTTTTGAAATTTGGAAATTTGTTTTACAAATCCTTGTGCTACAGTTTTTTTTTTTGTTTTAGCGCAAAGTTAATTTTTTACTAAACATTTTTGAAAAGCGAAAAAAATCAAATATTAAATAATATATAAGTGATTAAATATTTTACATATATTTTACATCGTTACATCTTTTTTAAAAAAAGAAAATTCTATAAAAAGTTTGTGTTTGCAAATCCGGACGGTCAGTGAACGCACCTGGTTTTACAGGAGACGGGCTCCGACTGCATGGCAAAAATCAGGCACAGTCCTGGTGAGAGACAAAAACAAACACGGTCTTTAGGTCCAACAGAAGTGACGGTTGTCTGACGTGAGACTCGACCTTTGACCTGAGCTTCTACCTGGAAAGATGAAGATGAAGAAAGCGCTGATTCCCCCGATGACACTGATGACTTTACTGATATCTGGGACGAAGACGGCGATGAGCAGCGTGACCGCGATCCACAGGACGGTCAGGACGCAACGGCTGCGACACTCGAAGGCCGACGTCACCACGCCGTAACGCTTCCGCCGCCAACTCAGCAGCGGATCCTGGATGACGGACCTGAGAACAGAAGGTGAATAATCTCATCCAACGTCACTGTTCAAACGTCCGCGTCCTCCGCTGGGTCTGCGATCCTCACCTGCCCAGCAGCACGATGATGGGGTAGATGGTGATGATGGAGATTCCGAAGAGCAGTCGGGCGATCAGCATCAGGACGTCGTCACCCGTGTACGACATCAGGATGTCGGGCTTCACTTCTTTTCCAAACGTCAGGTACCCATAAACCCCTGCAACAGGAAAACAACTGTGTCTTAATCCATGGGCTGCAGTCCATCATGTGGTCCATGTGGGTCAGACCAATGGTACTTAAACTTTTCAACGCGTGAACTCGGCAAAGACTGAGGAGCGGCTTTTAAGGTGATGAGTTTTTCTCTCGGTTCAGAGTCAGGCGGTAAATGAAAGGGTTAAAAACCTAAAAAAAATAAACTGCTCAAAGAACGAAAACAAAAACAACAAAGAGCCAAGAGTTCTGGCAAAAATTCATTTAGATTACAGCTATCTAAAAGTTAGCAAATATAATGTAACCGTTGCAATTAGGTAGCAGCGGGACAACTACAAGTTAGCCAAGAAAACATTGAGCCAAAACCTAAGAACATTAGCTTGGAGGGTAAAAAAACAACAAAAGAAAACGTTAGCATTAGCATTAAGCTGAAACAGAAGAGTTTTCAAAAGAAGCTAATCAAAAGATTAGCAAAAAGGAAACTAAACATGAGGCTAAAGTAAGCTAGCTAGCTAACAGTTAGCTAAAGTAGTAAGCTAAAGTTGTGTAATTGCAAGCTGCTCCGACCTGTGAGGGAGTAAATGATGAGGCAGAAGATCATGGAGACCACGGAGACAAAGACCCAGTGAGACAGACGCTGGTTCTCCATGCTGCTGTAGATGGCGATAGAGGCCTCGTGGCACTGCAACACAAACAGAACAACTGTCAAAACATATCCGCGACGCACAGGATAATGTTGGTGTAACTTAAACACGGGCTTTGAGAGAAAAAAACATGAAGTCAAATCAATAAAGTGCAGCATGAAAATAAGTTAAAAAACAACACAAACTCTGCTAAGTTTTTTTTTTCCTTTTCCTTCCTGACATTTGTTCACAGACATTGAAGCTAAATCCCTGTGATGAATGAGCTAATGCTAATTGTAAATTAAATATGGCTAAATTTATTGGCAAAATTAGCTATGTTTATTAGCTTAACTAGGGAAGTTATCTTCATTTAGGAAGTAAATAAATAAACCAAGTGATTTGTTTTTTCCAAGCCCAGATCGGACCACATTTTTGTGGCCCTGAGCGCTGAGAGTTAATGTGAATGAAAAATGCATTAATTTGTGTCAAAATAGGCAGCAATGTCCCTTTTTAGGGTTAAAATTAGGTAAAAAAAATTTGGACTCAAATCAATTCTAAGTCTCAGTAAAATTCTCTACTAAGAAGTTCCTGAAAAAGTCTTCAAAAATTAAAGTTCCTCAAAATGTAAAAAATACATTAATTTGTCTCCAAACTTTTGGTAGTTGAATGCAGTAATTCACTTTTTCTTTTTTTATTTGTTATTTTTTATTTTGTATTACATCTTTGTTTGTTTTTGTTTCTGTTTATAGTAAGAATATATATAAAGCAACTTCTAGCAACTTCCAAGCTAACATTAAGCCTTTTCTGATTTATTGTAATTTATTTTATTACAGTCATAAATTAGCTATGTTTATTAGCTTAACTAGGGAAGTTATCTTCATGTAGTCACTCACCTGGAAACCGAAGCAGATGGTTGGGATGACACTGAACATGGAGGACACGGTACTGATCCTACAGAGACACAGCATCACAGTCAGGGTTTGAACAGTGTTCAAGCAGCAGCCATTCTGATGGCATCACTCATAATGTCAGGACATTTAGAGACACGTTATGGGCACAGTGCCGATCTGTCAATCGCAGCTGAGGTGAAGACGATGAGTGGCCTCACAGTCGGGGGTCTCCAAACCCTGGTCTGCGGACCAGTGCCAGTACATGGGTCGTTTGGTAGCGAAGGAATTAATAATTGACTTGAGTTTTAGAAAATCCAATCATTTCTAATTTACGTTTATTTAAAGCTAATCTGCCAAGTTTTCAAAATAAAATGTCTTTTCAGAGACCAATACTGAGTAAAAAAGATTGAAAATATTTGAATCCGACAGAGTTCGGTGCAGCGCCATCTGTCACAGACACAGAGTACTGCACCTAAAATAGAAGCTGTTCTTACCCACTGTTGTAGAGAGGAGTGATGTGGACCATGGTCTTTGGCATAGTGTGGTATTTCACCAGGATGGCTACGGTCAGGTAGGTGGCGGCCAGTGTCCCCAGACCACTGGGGGGGGGGGGGACACAGGGTTAGGGCGACAACAACAAGAACGGGGAAACGACAACAACACGACAGTGGAACCAATCACAGTGGAGCTGAATAATTCCATCATGGCTAACAATTTTGAAATTTAGTTAATAATTTTTTAGTGTGTATATCAGTGTATTTTCTAAGTCAAATGAAAACAGAATATCAAAATATCTTATTAAAGACTTCAATAAAATATTATATATAAATAAATAAAAAATTCCCAACTCTCTCTCTGAGTTCTCACATGGGGAATTGAACCCGTACTCAATCTGAAGTAACAATTCCGAGACCTGCAAATGAAATACTTCAGTTTCTGACCTGATGTACTTCTGGAAGCTGATCTCCTTGGGGATGGACAGAGGGAGGATGAGGAGGAGACAGAGGAGGACCAGAACCAAAGGCTGGTCTGTGTAGAAGTGATGAGGAAGATCGGACTCTGGTAACCCGGTGACCAGCTCGTACACCGAGCCACACACTGGAACACACACACACACACAAAATCGTTTGTTGGGTTTGTTGTTCAGTTCAGTATTTAGTCCGACGCAGTACTCACTGCAGTCATATACAGTGACCTGATTCAACATCGGGAATCCCACACCTGACGGTTTAGGATGGTCGATGGTTTGAGTTTCTCCAAATATACTTAAATCACATATAGGATGCTGGGACGCTTACCTCCGTTTTTGGGGCAAACGGCTGCATATATCGGTATCGGTTGATATTAGAATCGGAAATTAGGTGTTTGGACAATATCGACATATCGTACATCGGCAAAAAATTCATATCGGACCTCCCTAGTTTGTGTTTATGAAACACGACTCACCTTTCTGCAGCTGGTCTTCCACGATGACCAGAAACGCCACGCAGATCATGAAGAGGTTGAAGACATAGCATATCTCACACAGCTGACCGATGGCCGGCCCACACACTTCCTTCACCACCGCCTGGTAGGTGCACTGGCCGCTGATGGAGGAGGAGTAGCCCAGGATGATCAGACCACTGATCAGGAAAACCAGGGAGCCCTGAGAACCAGGCGGAGGAGAACGTCAGGAAAACCAAAAACTAAATACGTCTAAAAGCTACGACCGTCGGAGGATAGAACGTTTTTACCTGATTAATCAAAAAGCAGATATGGATCACAGTTAATTGTGACTAATCATGATTAATCGAGAAAAATCAACATTTCTAAATATGTGGATATCTAAGTGTTTTGTAGTGTATATCACTGGAACTGAAAGACCGATAACGGCAGGTAGAGGTCAGAGTTTCACCCATGTTTTTATCTGTGATTAATTCAAATGACGGTATTATTAATATGGGGGGAAAAAAATTAACGATTAAAAATATACAACGTATAAGAGATCATGTATTTTCACAGAGTCTGTGTTTTAGAACGAGTGGAACGTGGTTCTTTCTAACGTTCTAACATCAACAACATTAATCAGTCTACAGTCCTGCTGTCAGTCGTAGACTGACTGACTGTCAGCTCTGACACATGCCGGGCCACTGACCAGAGGTTGAAGCTCCACAAACACATACTGGGAGCTGAAAAAGCTTCGATGAAATGAAAACTTTTCCCCACAGTGTGTGTAAATAACAACACGTGTGTTAGAGCAGTGATACATAGATAGACAGTGGAATTATGGGATATACACAGCGCGTCGTTCTGAGAACGTGTTAAAATGCGTTAAAAACGGCCAGTTCAATGACGTTAGCTCACGTCAAAACTAACAGACGTTAATCGTTACCGCGATCTTACCGCGATCATTACTGTGATCTGTGACACCTGGGCTTTTCCTGCCGCAGGAACAATCTTCAGCAAACCTCCGGTAAAAAAAAAAAAAACTCAAACAAACTCCAACATAAAGTCATTAAATTATAATCCTAAAATCCCGGCAGTCGTAACTGTCAAAAACTATCGTCACTATCGTCAAAAACACGACTCTTTTGGGGGCGGATGTGAAACAGAGTCGTGGACTCACCAGCTCCACGGACACGGCGCTGTGGATGCCACCGGCTCTCTCGAAGGCCCACGGGAAGTTGAGGAGCCCGGCTCCCAGCGCTGACTTCAGCATGATGAAGATGGCCCCCACGGTGCCCAGCCGGGGGCCCACGGCCACGTCTAGAGGGGGTTTGGCCGAGACTGAAGCCAGCAGACTGATGCTCTCTCTGGCCAACTTCTCCATGATGCACGACAACAACAGGAAGAACGATACCGATACTGGTGCTCCTCCTGCTGCGACTGATTCTCCTCCTGCTGCAGGTGATCCTCTTCCTCTTCCTCTTCCTCCTCCTCCTCCTCCTCCTCCTCCTCACACAAGTTTGAGGCGGTGGATTGTGGGCCGGTCAGAGCTGAAGCAGGGCGGGGATGGAGGAGGGCAGGCGGGGCTCAGAGTACCTGAGGTGGACGGAAGAGGATCAGGGCCACAGATTGTTTCTTTTTCCCATGTGTGGGATTAAAAACTAAATTTAGATTTTCGGGGTCAGGAAAATAAACTTATATGTAGTTTATTTTTATTTATATATTTTATAGTATCCATAAAGATCGATATAGATACAGATAAAGTTTGAGTCTGATTTTCAGGGATAAAAAAATCAATGGAATTTTTAAAATCAGATTTCTGATATAAAAAAAAAACACAAAACGAAATTCTACTGGTATTTGCAGATTTTTTTTACCCCTTTCATTTAAAGCACTGTCAAACATGTGCGGGAGCCAAAACCGGCCCACAATGGATTTTGATTAATTTTGAAAGAGAGAGAGAGAAAAAAATGAAAACTACAATTAGAACTTGTTTGTGTAAAAATAAAACGGTTTGAATTTAAAAAGCTAATTTTGACACAATATTGGAAAATTTTAAAAAAGCTAATTTTGACACAATATTGGAAAAAAAAAAACAACTGTATCTTCACCTTTAATTTTTTAGTAAAGTATAAAGTAATAAACAAAATATTACAGTGTGAAACTTTACCTGTTTTTCTCATAATTGTAACCTTAAACTTAAATTACTCAATTTTTGATTTAAGTTTGAATATAATAAAATTAAGTTAATTTAACAGTAAATAGCTAAAAGTTAGCCAACAAACAGCTACGTGACAGACGTGAGGTTTAAGTACAATAAAAATCCGGTTATTTTAAGTATAGCAACAGGAATTAAAAAAAAAAAATTCAGCCACACTCCTCTGTACTGACCAATCAGAAGTGACCTTCAAGGGGCTGCAGACCATGATTTGATTTCCAATGACCCCAGTCAAAAAACCTGTAAAAGAATGACATGGAGTCACTGTGAAATTTCAATATTTTTTCTGCATAACCTCTCCTTGCTCACTCCTCATTGGTCGCCTCCATGTGTCACATGACCAGCATGATGTCACTTGATTCCTGTTGAAGGTATTACCGCAGTTATTTCATAACTTTTTTTTAATCTTTGCACTTAAGCAGGATGTGAAGTTGTTCCAAGTCAAAAGGCCGAAGTCAAAGCAAAGTGACGCTTCGCTGGTGATCGGGTCTGAAGTCGCCCGGTTCACCAGCGCTGTGTCCAAACTCCGCTCCAGCCATGTGACCTTCAGGGTCATGTGACACCAACTCCAATCAGCCGGGGACAAATTCAAAGGAACAAAACGGTAAAAGGTTGATGAAATACTTACCCTAAAATAATGTGCTCTAAAAATAGTTTTAGGGAAAAACGGCTGTATATAAAAGTGAAAGTCACTAGATGGCAGCATTGCAGCTTATGTTATTATTCTATTTTTTTTAAATACTGGTTGCAGCAACCCATACAATGTATAACTTCCTTAACCACCAGGGCACCATTGCCCGACCATATCGGTATTGATTGATATAGGAATCGGAAATTTAGTGATTGGACAATATCGGCATATATCGGATATCAAGAGAAAGTTAATATCGGACATCCCTAATAAATTTGCCTTGTTGTGCCCCCCATCATACCTTCAATCCCCCTAAAAGGGGTCCAAATCTCCAGGTCACTGGATGAGGGGGAGGGGAAGAATCGCTGTAAAGAAAAAAAAATGAATGGAGTATAAATTTGATTTAGTGTTTTTTTTATGACTCTACCTTTATCTGTGATGAAAGCCTTTCACGGTTGAGGTGGGCTGGACCAGGATCAGCCTGGAGGCCAACGGGGTAGGATCCAACACGCCTGCAGTTTCAGCTCCACCACCAACGCCAACAGTGCGGTGTCTCTCAAACAGTCTGTCCAGGGTGTGAACCATCGACCTGATTGGCCCGACAGGAAGTCCTGGCATCTGAGGGAAAAGAGGGCATGTGACCTCCACTCACCACCAGCTTTTCCCAAATCTTGTTAGCACAGATAACTGGCTCCACGGCTATTTCCCATTTTCCCAAGGTACTGAGGGAGATTAGTGTTCCAGTGGGGCCGTCATCTGAGAGGAGGGGTGACAGATTCACAGGCTGATCTGGTCTGTTGGAGACTAAGAGCCACGAGCACATCGACACACATCACCTCAGATGAAATCAACCTGCATCACAGGACTCGGCCCAGGAACCTTTACGGAACCCATGAGTCAGATTGGAATAAGTGCAACTTAGTCAGAACTGGTCAACGTGACGTAATGATTTCCGAGGTGACGGATCGTAGGAATGCACTGATCTGAGTTTACAAACATGTTGCAAAATACCAAAAAAAAAAAAAAAAAATCAATTTAAAATTGCTCAGGACGTTTTCTTTGAAAATGCAATTCCTGGCATCAATTTAAAGCTACTCAGGATGTTTTCTTTGAAAATGCAATTCCTGGCACGTACTTTAAAATACATGTGGCACTAACACCAATTTTTATGTAATAAAATATAATGATCTTCGTGGCACCAATTTTTTTATGTAATAAAATATAATGATCTTTTAGTTGGAATTGACTTACAGTTTACTAACCCGGTGTGAAATCCTGTTTAGTTGAATATACTCGCAGGAATTGATGAAAGACAAGGATCTTCAACAGCGCCGATTCCCTTTTTCTTTTTTGGTTTTCACAGCCATCTGCTACCATCTAGTGGAAGAGTATTTAATTTTTCTGCCTGTCACTGCAAAAATAAACAAAGAAAAATTATTCGTAATAAGTAATTGCTAGTTTTCAGACTAGAAACGTGAAATTAGGAACATTTTCTAAGGAACACCCTAATGATCTCTCGGTGGGGAATCACTGATCTAGAAAGAGTAAACAAGAAAAACCCAAATACCTAATCATTTGAAGTAAAATTGCCTTCTGATCAGTTACTTTTTTGCGATCGTGTTATTTTTTTTTTTACTTTCAAAGTTGTAGTTTATATCAGTAATTAAGCCACTCCCATTTTTTAATGCTTTTTAATTGATGAGATATAGTTGAAGAAGTCGATGCTACTTTGTTGATCGTGAGATCATGAAGGTTCATCAACAGAAGGTCTGTGAAAGTTCGCTCGTTATAGAAAGTACAAAAACCATGAAAAGACAGAAACAGACAGGAAACAGGAAGAGGATGACGACCACGGAGCAGTCACGGTACAAACGTCACTGCACGTGTGTGTGTGTGTGTGTGTGGGGGGGGTTGTCACTGCTTTTATCCCGTAATGGCTGTCATTATGTTTTAGTGTTTTTATTTAGTCCAATTGTGTTTTGTTTTTTTTGTAGGGAACGGACAAATTCAATAAATTAATAGAAAGTCAGTCACGAGGAAACAGTTTGGTCAGAGAAGAGAAGGGGAAAAACAGACGTTTGTTTGTTTGTTTCAGGGGCCAGATGTTTGACATCATGTGTCTAACACTGTTCATCAGTCCACAAACGTCCAGGAACAGCCCGGAACCGATGAGAGGCACAAAAACGGAAAATCCAGCAAACGCGTGGTTGGCGGTTCCCGTCTGGAGGGTTAGGGTCTAATGGCAGTCAGACGTCTGTCTCGGCAGTTCATCGCAATTCCCAAACTCTCCAGAGGCGAACATGAGTTCTTTGTGCAGGTGCAGTCCATCGGTGCTGCAGTTCCTGCTCAGACTGTGGGGTTTTTCCCCATGGTCGTTTGCTGCTGCTGCTGCAGGTACGTGGGGCGTTTCACGCGGGGTTTCCTGCGCTTGGGTTTGTTCTTGGCCTTGGTGAGTTGGACCACGAAAAAGGACAGGACCACCATGGCTCCCAGGAAGGCAAAGACGGGAATGGTCTGGCCCACCTCCTGGTTGTAGTGACCAGGCATTATTCCTGAAGAGGGGGGTGAGAGGGTGAGGGGTCAAAGGTCAGAGGAGACGGTTACTTCGTGAATCCTATAAAGGTTCTTCAAAGGTTATCAGACTCAGTTTTACATTTTAAACCACATTTTAAAGGATTTCTCACTCAGACGTGTAAAGAATCTGATAAACAACCAATCGCATCCAAGAAATGTTCGCTTGTATTTAAAGGTAAACAACAGGGCATGGAAATATATTAGGTTTTTAATATATATGTATTATTTTAATACATTTCTACACACCAAATAGAAGACTGAATAATGTTTACTCCCTGACGCAGTAGTTAGCATTACAACAGGGCTGTATTTAAATATCGATACATTGAAATATCGCAATATTTTGTTCTACGATCGTGAATCGATATTCTACAGCACTGAATGGATGTTTCAGTACTAATTCCCAGTCAAATATTCCTGGTGTTGGTTCATTAAATTTTTTCTTTTATTTCTTCACTAGTTCGTTACCTCCAGGAATGTCCCAGGCTCCGCTCTCACCAGGAGACAGAGGTCTGACCTGGGGACGGTAGGCCCTCACGTTAGGCAGAGCCACTTTGTCCAGATCCACCGAGAGGAGTTTCTGGTGTTTCCACAGGTTACTGAGAACACAGGAGAGAACCGATGAAGGGACAACGAGGAGCCTGAAAACTCACATCATCGGCGTAAAAATCTAGTCTGAGATGGAGAGGTTTTTTTTTCCCCACAGCTACCTGGGTGCTGTCTCATTGACTGGCTGTGGCTTTGCCCAGGACAGGTGAGGACACGCTGGCAATGGGCGGGGCTTAGGGTCTCCCAGGTGAGCCTCCAGGACCTTGGAGTAGCGGTAGAGGTGGTTTCCTGCAGGAAATGAAAAACGGAAAGAAGTCAGTGAGAAGTTTGTTGGTGTGAAATTTAACTTTGACTGGAACACTCATCTGGGAGTGTGATGTTTTATTTTTATTTATTATCTTGTTTAATATTTCAATGATACAGAAATATGTTAAAATTGAAACCACTTCCGTGGAATGACAGAAAACGATAGAAAATGTTACAAATTTGGAATGGTGAATAAGAAGTGCGATAATAAAATGGCCCTAAAAAGTTTTTTGTGGTAAAAAAATGGTGGACCACATTGATTCAATATTTGGGCCGCGACTAACCCGCAAGCCAGACTTTTGACATACCTGGGTCAGAATATGTTTGCACTAAAACATTTAAAGAGTGAGAAAATGTGGTGATGTTTCTTCCTCACCTTCCAGTCTCTGAGGCAGGAGGCGGTCTGTGCCTGCAGGTGGCGCTACTCTACTGTGAGAGTGGCTGAGGCTGGGAGGAGTCATGCTGTAGGAGGTGTACTGAAGGAGAGCGTCCAGCAGCCAGAAACAATCTGAGTGAACATCACGGAGAACGTCACACATCAAACTCAACTGGAAAAAAAAACAAAAAACGTCCGTCGTTCTCCTGGTCTCCTGGTCTTTGAACCTCACCTTTCTGTCTGTGGCTGTCGTCGATACAGTTCGAATCTCCGTACAGTGCGATGCGACCTCCGCCCTCTGAAGGTGTTTGGTACAGTCCCAGGATGGGAACCCCTTCCACCACTGCCGTCTCCTGCTTCAACACCTCCAGACCTGAGACAAAATAAAAAACCCCAACAGACTCATCAGTCACATTAACATCTACAGATGAATGGAGCTGCTGCAGGGCCACAGGCCAACACTTTGACATACTCTGAAAATACCCTCAGATACCCTGAGACATTCTCTGAATCACTCTGATCTACTGAGATACTCAGATTCACTCAGATATAATCAGAGATACTCAGAGAGACAACAGCTGGTACCTTGGTCCTTTAGGTTCTTGGCAATGACAATTCCATCTTCTGGGAATCGGGCAATACTGCAGCCTGAGGCATAATACACTGAGAGAGAGAGAGAGAGAGAGCGAGCATTGATCCTCATTAATTTTCCTGTGTTAAAAACTAAACGTACCAAAAAACCCCAGAGGGAGGAAACTGTTAAACAATTATCAACAAGTCTGTGTGTATGTTTGCTCAGGTGTGTGTGCATATACCAGTATACGTTACTGTGTGTGTGTGTGTCTTACTGTCATGATCAGCCAGGGTGAAGTCCCCCTCATACAGCCCATCACCAAAAGCCATCCCCCACACTGAGATCAGGTCGTTCAGTGCTGGTACGTTAGCGCCCCCCGTGTCTGGCATCCACCACTGCCTGCAAGTGACACCAAGAAAATAATTTAAAAAAAAACAAAACACAATTTTCAACAGAGTCAATGAAAAATAAATAGCTGTTAAAATTGGACTAAAATCCTCATCCATGACGTTTGAAGGGCCACACAGACGAGAACAGTTTAAAAATGTTTTATTCAGTGGACGATGTTCCACATCTCAGGAGGAGAACGGTAAAACCAGGCAGTCATTTTTAAGCCCTGGGATTAAGAGCTTTGGATCCTAAATTGTCAGATCCATTACAGAGCTCATAAAGTCATGAACACAGAACTGATGCTTCACACTTCAATTAGAAGTCATTCATCTGTTCAACCACACGCAGCAGAGGTATTCTCTCCAGCACTGAGACACAGAGGAGATCAGTGTGAAGGAGCTGTGGAGCTAATGGCTGGAAAATCACAACACAGGAAACAGGAAACCACCCATTTAAATCTTAAAAAAAAACTGATAAGAAGACGTCAAGGTTTCTACATTATTCACATGGCTGGGAATTTCATCCTTGATCTGGAATGGAATTTTTTTTAAAAGAAATTCGTATTAAACTGGGCTTTCACCAAAAACATTGATAAAGTTATATCTGGTCTCTGTTATTGTTGATATTGTAACTACTATATGTGTGTGTTTGGATGTGCCATATATTTTATGTGAATTATGTTTCTGTCTGTATATGT